TAAACTGGCCGACCCAAATAAGATATTGAGCTACACACTTGTATTTTCATGTCGACCTGATCAAATTAATTGGTGAACAAAACCAAAGGCATGTAGGCTGAGTAGAATTACAGAGGTATCGTATCCCGATCTCATCTCCAGGGAGGCGATGGCAGCAGAGTGTCCACGATGTGCACTGACGGTGTGGATTTGAAGGGCCGAGAAAAAGCATAGGATACATAAAACGGTGCTGTATGAGGAATTCGATGCTCAGTGATCAATAAATGTCGGAGAATCAGCAGAACCGTGCATATCGCATATCTGATGTCACAGCCATAACCCAAGTTACAGCCTACATATAAATGAATCTGACCAGTGCAAACCAGTGGTTGAAAGTATCCATGCCTTGCCACCAAGTAACACATTATCACTATCCATAACAAGCCTTGCCAGTAAGATGAACCATCCTTGTCACACAATGTCCCTATCTGATCACCAGCCTTGTCACCAAGATCAACCATACATGTCACACAATGTCCCTATCTGATCACCAGCCTTGTCACCAAGATCAACCATACAAGTCACACAACGTCCCTATCTGATCACCAGCCTTGTCACCAAGATCAACCATACATGTCACACATTGTCACTATCTGATCACCAGCCTTGTCACCAAGATCAACCATACAAGTCACACAATGTCACTATCCACCGCCAGCCTTGTCACCATGATCAGCCATACAAATCACACATTGTCACTATCAATCACCAGCCTTGTCACCAAGATCAACCATACAAGTCACACAATGTCACTATCAATCACCAGTCTTGTCACCAAGATCAACCATACATGTCACACATTGTCCCTATCTGATCACCAGCCTTGTCACCATGATCAGCCATACAAATCACACATTGTCACTATCTGATAACCAGCCTTGTCACCAAGATCAACCATACATGTCACACATTGCCACTATCCATCACCAGTCTTGTCACCAAGATGAACCATACATATCACACATTGCCACTATCCATCACCAGTCTTGTCACCAAGATCAACCATACAAGTCACACAATGTCACTATCCATCACCAGTCTTGTCACCAAGATCAACCATACATGTCACACATTGCCACTATCTGATCACCAGCCTTGTCACCAAGATCAACCATACATGTCACACATTGTCACTATCTGATCACCAGCCTTGTCACCAAGATCAACCATACATGTCACACATTGTCCCTATCTGATCACCAGCCTTGTCACCAAGATCAACCATGCAAGTCACACATTGTCACTATCCATCACCAGTCTTGTCACCAAGATCAACCATACAAGTCACACAATGTCACTATCAATCACCAGCCTTGTCACCAAAATCAACCATACATGTCACACAATGTCACTATCTGATCACCAGCCTTGTCACCAAGATCAACCTTACAAGTCACACATTGTCACTATCAATCACCAGCCTTGTCACCAAGATCAACCATACATGTTACACATTGTCACTATCTGATCACCAGCCTTGTTACCAAGATCAACCATACAAGTCACACATTGTCACTATCCATCACCAGCCTTGTCACCAAGATCAACCATACATGTCACACATTGTCCCTATCTGATCACCAGCCTTGTCACCAAGATCAACCATGCAAGTCACACATTGTCACTATCCATCACCAGTCTTGTCACCAAGATCAACCATACAAGTCACACAATGTCACTATCAATCACCAGCCTTGTCACCAAAATCAACCATACATGTCACACAATGTCACTATCTGATCACCAGCCTTGTCACCAAGATCAACCTTACAAGTCACACATTGTCACTATCAATCACCAGCCTTGTCACCAAGATCAACCATACATGTTACACATTGTCACTATCTGATCACCAGCCTTGTTACCAAGATCAACCATACAAGTCACACATTGTCACTATCCATCACCAGCCTTGTCACCAAGATCAACCATACAAGTCACACATTGTCACTATCTGATCACAAGCCTTGTCCCCAAGATCAACCATACATTCACACATTGTCACTATCTGATCACCAGCCTTGTCACCAAGATCAACCATACATGTCACACATTGTCACTATCTGATCACCAGCCTTGTCACCAAGATCAACCATACAAGTCACACATTGTCACTATCCATCACCAGCCTTGTCACCAAGATCAACCATACAAGTCACACATTGTCACTATCTGATCACCAGCCTTGTCACCAAGATCAACCATACAAGTCACACATTGTCACTATCCATCACCAGCCTTGTCACCCAGATCAACCTTACAAGTCACACATTGTCACTATCCATCACCAGTCTTGTCACCAAGATCAACCATACAAGTCACACATTGTCACTATCCATCACCAGTCTTGTCACCAAGATCAACCATACAAGTCACACATTGTCACTATCTGATCACCAGCCTTGTCACCAAGATCAACCATACAAGTCACACATTGTCACTATCCATCACCAGCCTTGTCACCCAGATCAACCTTACAAGTCACACATTGTCACTATCCATCACCAGTCTTGTCACCAAGATCAACCTTACAAGTCACACATTGTCACTATCCATCACTAGCCTTGCCTGCTCATTCACGAACATATTCTACTCTGAAATACACATAGGAACTTCCAAGTGAGGGCTGCGTCAAACTGAAACAAGACATATCAAGAAGTGTCTTCTGTATCAAGTTAATTCTGACTTTTCTGATGGGGTAAAGTATTTACCATTGAGGGTAGATTGAGATGGCTGTCAAGAAGCACCTTGGGACATCGTATTCTTGTGTAGAATGTTGAGTCATTATTAAAGTAGGAACTTGATGGAAATACTGCCAACGCCTCAATTGAGCAATGACACTAATTGTCACACGTGTTCTCTAGAACGGTGTAAATCACCGCACACACACCGCAGCGTCCGCCATGCGTTTATGACATATGCAAACACACGGCTTCTAAACAGCTGCCGCTCCAGTGCAGTGAAGTGTGATGCAGTCAGCGCGATATTGGTTATCTGACTGCCACTGGCAATAAGGTCTGATTGTGTTGGGGACGGACGTCGGCACACCCAGGTCACACAAAGACGCTCCCCTGAGAGGATCTATGGTTTCAATAAAACGCTGACTTCTCTTGATGCTGCTGGGTAGCGCTGGATTATATTACACAAATGACATACCTAGCACTTAAATCCTGTATTATAATCTCCCAGATGAGGATACCCCGCACAGCCACCAAGGCAGTGCTTTACTGTTGTTTCTGTTCTATAAAATTTGTGAGAAGAATGCTTCGTTGATTAATTTTGCTCTGAGCTGATGCTGGTCCCAAGGGTAAGGTAAATGCATTGTGCCAGGGAAGGACGTTGTAGTAGTCGTTGTAGAAGTGGATATTGCCGTGGAAGAGCTGACTTTAAGTTCGGCTGATATGGTAATGATTTGGGAGGTAACAGCTATAAGTCTCTGATACATGCCAGCCTTCTGTCTGTGCGGGTTCCTAGATATATACTGACAACAAATACCAGTCTTCTGTCTCTGCGGGTTCCTAGATATATACTGACAACAAATGCCAGCCTTCTGTCTGTGCGGGTTCCTAGATATATACTGACAAATACCAGGCTTCTGTCTGAGCGGGTTCCTAGATATATACTGACAACAAATACCAGCCTTCTGTCTGTGCGGGTTCCTAGATATATACTGACAACAAATACCAGGCTTCTGTCTGTGCTGGTTCCTAGATATATACTGACAACAAATACCAGCCTTCTGTCTGTGCGGGTTCCTAGGTATATACTGACAACAAATACCAGCCTTCTGTCTGTGCGGGTTCCTAGATATATACTGACAAATACCAACCTTTTGTCTGTGCGGGTTCCTAGATATATACTGACAACAAATACCAGGCTTCTGTCTGTGCTGGTTCCTAGATATATACTGACAACAAATGCCAGCCTTCTGTCTGTGCGGGTTCCTAGATAAATACTGACAAGTACCAGGCTTCTGTCTGTGCGGGTTCCTAGATATATACTGACAACAAATACCAGGCTTCTGTCTGTGCGGGTTCCTAGGTATATACTGACAACAAATACCAGCCTTCTGTCTGTGCGGGTTCCTAGATATATACTGACAAATACCAACCTTTTGTCTGTGCGGGTTCCTAGATATATACTGACAACAAATACCAGGCTTCTGTCTGTGCTGGTTCCTAGATATATACTGACAACAAATGCCAGCCTTCTGTCTGTGCGGGTTCCTAGATAAATACTGACAAGTACCAGGCTTCTGTCTGTGCGGGTTCCTAGATATATACTGACAACAAATACCAGGCTTCTGTCTGTGCGGGTTCCTAGATATATACTGACAACAAATACCAGGCTTCTGTCTGTGCGGGTTCCTAGATATATACTGACAACAAATGCCAGCCTTCTGTCTGTGCGGGTTCCTAGATAAATACTGACAAGTACCAGGCTTCTGTCTGTGCGGGTTCCTAGATATATACTGACAAGTACCAGGCTTCTGTCTGTGAGATGGCGCAAAGAACGTCACGTGGTCCAGACGCTTCCCCTCATGGACTTTTCCCAACAAGAGAATTCCCCATCATAATAGCTGCTAGTATTCATTAGTTCGAGAGTCGGGTAGTTCATTCGCCTTGATTATGATCCTCTGCGACGCCTAAACTGTTTGGTTTCAGCAAACTGACAAACGCCGACGACATATACATCATATACATATACATGTATTCCGCCAACTGGGGCCGGATATAGCATGGTATGCGGCACGGTGGTAACTAGGAACTAAGATGTCAACACTGTTCCTGTATACAGTATTTACAAGTAATAAAATTACGATAAACCCATAACTTTATAAGGAGTTAGCAATAAAGAAGGGGGAGCACCATGTTGACAGAACCGGGGCGGCCCAAGCCTGTCGTCCTGTAGTGGAGCTCTAACCATGCAAACACCATAGGGTGTTACTGTTACAGGTCTGGCATCGCACAGCAGGTGACAGTGAGAGGATTGCCCTGACACTTACACTGTCACACAGCCTATATGATCACGTTCATCCCCGACAACTCCAGGTAACGTAGCTTTAGGCGCATCTTACATTGGATTCTAAGTGAAATATCGCCTTGGACATACATATTAATTCTGCATATTATTGAGTCTAAAGGAGGCGTAAAGTGTATCAATCCACATTCGCTGTGCGTGAAAAATATCGACACTAGCCCTGGTTTGGTTTGTCCTTCATAGTTATTCACGATCAAGTTATTTCCAAAGTCGCTTCCGATCTGGCATTATAAGAGCGGGTTCCTGGAGGTGAGGTACGTCACGAGACACGTGTTGAAGAGAGATAGGTAGCATCACCCTATGAAGGTCCTACAGTAAGTTCCTGGAAATTAGGTACACGTCACGAGACACGTGTTGTAGAGAGATAGGTACCATCACCCTATGAAGGTCCTACAGTAAGTTCCTGGAAATTAGGTACACGTCACGAGACACGTGTTGTAGAGAGATAGGTAGCATCACCCTATGAAGGTCCTACAGTAAGTTCCTGGAAATTAGGTACACGTCACGAGACACGTGTTGTAGAGAGATAGGTAGCATCACCCTATGAAGGTCCTACAGTAAGTTCCTGGAGATTAGGTACACGTCACGAGACACGTGTTGTAGAGAGATAGGTAGCATCACCCTATGAAGGTCCTACAGTAAGTTCCTGGAAATTAGGTACACGTCACGAGACACGTGTTGTAGAGAGATAGGTACCATCACCCTATGAAGGTCCTACAGTAAGTTCCTGGAAATTAGGTACACGTCACGAGACACGTGTTGTAGAGAGATTGGTAGCATCACCCTATGAAGGTCCTACAGTAAGTTCCTGGAAATTAGGTACACGTCACGAGACACGTGTTGTAGAGAGATAGGTACCATCACCCTATGAAGGTCCTACAGTAAGTTCCTGGAAATTAGGTACACGTCACGAGACACGTGTTGTAGAGAGATTGGTAGCATCACCCTATGAAGGTCCTACAGTAGGTTTTTTTCAAACAAACCTAGTTAGGGGCTACCGGCGCAGAGGTGACAACTGTTTTTATTGGCTGATAGGTTTCCCGCCTTTGTCTATCTTGTGATTCTCAGCCTGCTGTTTTTGTTAAACCTACAAAAATAACAACATTGCTTACATTGTTCGATGTGTAAAACGACCTTTGATCTTGACATTGTGAATAATTAAAATAAGTAAGGATAAGATTTATAAATGAACAACTTCTTTATTACAATTAGGAGCGACGTTCCGTTTTCATTTGCACAGTTTTTTCGTCGTTTTTTACGCTATTTCCGATTTTGACATTTAAGTTTGTGATTTAGTTTGCGAAAATTGTTAAAATCTGCAAAGTTGCTGTGTTGACTTTACTTGCCCTTAAACGTGACGACCGAACGCTTTAACTACTAGGCTACCCCACCGCCCTCAACCACGAGTGCTTCTGTTCCAGGAGTTAGAGACACTGGTGATATAGACACACCAACTTCAACCAAAAGCCCTAGTAACTCCCAGACACGTACACGATATTAGTAAAGGTTAAATAGGGATGCAATATCGAACTAGACCGAGTGGGGTTTGGCTAATGTTAAAGTATCCCAAAGGACTAATAGAATTACAGTATGTGTGCCCATTGTCCTTATGTGATTTCACTATGGAGAGTAATGCATATAACAGGTTCAGTTGCATCCCTACGTGTCTAATCAATAATGTAATAGTGTGTAGCAACGCTGTGGTGTCAACAAGAAACAAACCATTTTTGCAGTATCATGTCTAACTGGGTTCATATTTGTTTCAGATGTTGCCAGATGTCTGTTTTCGAAGATTAATTATACACCAAGTACGTCCATCATTGATGCACACAGAGGACTTCCATTATTCTGTCGCCCACACGCCAACAGAAGACGCCCTTCAACGTATGGAGAACAATTCATGGACATTTAATGTTTAAACAAGAAGATAGTAAGGAAGATTCACATCAGTGATAACTTGCTCTTTGTTCCGTCAAGGATGGCCAGGTGATGGGAGAACTGTCCGACGATTATCTCTGACCCGTGTGTGTATTTGAATACAAACTGTGGCAAGTCGACATTATATTTTTTCATCTGTGAACTTTTGTATAGATACACGTGAGTGAAGGCAAAGGGACCAATAGAACACTGGAAGATTAACTATTTCTTCATATGACGTCACCGTATTTGTGCCGTTAATGGATGTCCTTGTCCGAGAATGGCGACACGAGAGATTGCAACTGGAACCGTCTCCAGCGGTCCACATATTGACTACCCAACTGTTGTGATAGTGTTTACAATATTGCAGGCTGTTGTGATGGTGGTGGCGTCGTTTGGCAACCTCATGGTGATCGTCGCCTTTGTGCGTTACATGGACTTGCGGCGCGCCACCAACAAGTTCATCATCAACCTTGCAATATCCGATCTTCTCACGGGTCTCGTCATGGTGTACCAGATCACTTCCTTCTACGTTCCCGCCATGAGCCGCCATCTTGTCTCGTGTCTACTACAGTTCCAGACGATATCAGTGTTCACGCTGTCGTCTCAACTCAGCGTCACCTTCTGCACCATCGACCGCTACATCGCAATCTCCATCCCCTTCAAGCACGACGCCATCATGTCCCCCCGCAACACCGCCATCATGATCAGCGTCCCGTGGGTGTACGGAATCATTATTGGCGCCCTCCCCTTCATCGGCGTCAACAACTGGACCGACGGTTCAGCCTGCATATACGAACTGGTCGTCACACCCGCCCAACTGTACATATCTGCCCTCACCACGTGGTCACAGACGATACCGTGTTTCATCATGTATGGGATAATATTCAAGGTGGCTTGGGACAGAAAGAAGCGGATTCGACCCACGAACAGAGTATTGGTTCACCGAATCGAAGTCCACTCGAGTGTCATGATGGGGATTGTCACAGTAGCCTTCACGGCGTGCTGGCTGCCATACAGTGTCACGACCTTTATGCAGGCGCTCAACTTTAACCCCACAGTGTCCTTCGTGGGCAACTGTCTGGTGTTCGTTGGAGTAGCGCACAGCATTGTAAATCCCTTCATTTACGCATGGCAGAAGCGAGAGTTCCGTCGCGCGTGTGGTCGTCTGCTGTGCCCGATGTCGTCTGCTCGGCGTAATCAACAACCTCGCGTGAAAACCATCAGTCATCAATCGGACAGATCTGATGCGACATGATGGAGAACCGACAAGTGAGTGGGTGTTAACGGTGATCTAGATATGTGTGTGTGCACCCGTCGCCCACAGACTGAACATACTGGATGCACATGGCCGGAGCGGTTCCTGCAGGAACCTAGTGACCATCGGCCATTAAAAGGTCAACCTGAGTTCAGGTGTGGCCCTATTCTATAAGCTCCTAGAAGCAGCCAAGTACACTGAGTGTTTGTTTACATGTATCCACTTCCTTTAAATTTATCATATATTAATACTAGATGCATTGGTAGAACCTCTGTCACACAGGGACGACCATTGGACAATCGAGTGGATGGACCTGATATTTGTCGTTTTACTTACAGAATTTACTGAAAAATCTGATTTGATTCATGTATTAAACAGTTGTTCAGCTTCTCCGTTAGGAACACAAGTTGTGTCTCGAAGCAGACAGAACCAGGCTATTACATGTCGGCCCCGTACAGGAGCTAGTACGACTGAAGTGGTTGTAAGATGTGGCCGTTTAAACATTGGCTGTCTGGGCACGGTGACACGTGTTGCCGCCGAGGTCTACCCAACATGTTCTCCTGCTGTCTTCTAAGATCTATTTCAGTCAATCTAGGACCCGTAGCAATGGAAACGTCGTCACTTGAATTCCCACACCAGTGAGGTGACACCTCTTTGCCATCTCTACAAGCCTTGGTTGTCTGTGTTAAGTGTCAGTATAATTATATCTACCGCATGGGGTTACCGCATGGGGTTGTCACGCCGTATAAGGGTCCGTAACTCGCTGTGCGGAGTTGCTTCCCTTAGTTGTTCCAGAATTATGAGACTTGCTTTTGTCAGACCCATACCCGTGCTCCTTGGTATCCCCCAAATCGTAACAATCTAAGACCTATATAATTTCGGGCTACCCTTCCACATTAAACTGCCACGCTGAGACATGACTGACATACTTTTGAAATCGCGTATAACCTCACCTCACACACTAACTATGTCAAGATCCGGGTGATAATGGGTCTTCAGCAACCCATGATTGTCGTAAGAGGCGACTAACGGGATCGGGTGTCATGCTCGCTAAGATCGCTTTATGGAACGGGGCGCAGGTGTATATAGCTGTATAACCGTACAAAAACAACATAATTCAGATCGACATTTGACATGTATATTATTCGTATATGTGGTAGGTCCAGCGTGGTAGAAAATTCCAGGGTTTACTTATAAAGGGATAAACTTTGATTCTACTGCTCAAGTGTCCACACAATTGACAGGAACACTGTATACATAGTAAGTGTTTGATTGTTGTTTAACGCCGCACTCGATTATTTACAGACCGCCGTCATATAGCTGGAATACTGCTGAGTGCGGCGTTAAACAACAATCAAACACTTATAGTGTTCCTGTCATTCCAGGTACTCCAGTGATTGCCATCATGAGCATCGTACCACGCTATTGGGGTCGAGTTTTACAACTATTTTCCCACAAGATTGACGAAAAAGATCACAATTATCCTGGGATTAGAAGCCAGAATAAATAAAAATACGCATTGACTTTCGTTTTCTTTTAATCCTATCATTTTCAGTCACTGGGCGTTGAAATAGACCACACATATGTTTGAAATTCGTTATCATAATATAATTAATGGAAAATAATTGGAAAATGAAAATTTCAGTCATTTTAGTTATACATGCTCTTTTGTGCTTTGTATATAATGTGGGGCGGTCGGGTAGCCTAGTGGTTAAAGCGTTCGCTCGTCACGCCGAAGACCCGGGTTCGATTTCTGACATGGGTACAATGTGTGAAGCCCATTGCTGGTCCCCCGCCGTGATATTGCTAAAAGCGGCGAAAAACCAGTCACCTACTTGTGTATAATGTGCCATTTAGCCACGCACCCTCAATCTAACTAATGCCAGGGGGGTAACTAGTATAAACTATCTTGTTAACATATAGGTACTGCAAACAGTCGACTGTGTTTCCATACATTGCGACCTATGTGAACGTGTATTCAAATGCAGTCACATATTTACATGCGATTTCCATTCTCTACATATTTGAGGAGGCTGGCTGCTCATTTAATTGGTTATCCATTTAATTATTATTATTATTATTATTATTATCATCATCATCATTTTGATCCATCGTAAGTCTTTTATCCACACATTGTTTCATCCGGACGGAGAAATATTATAAGGAATGTTTGTTATTAAAATACATTATTTTAATCCTTGTTATGAATGTTTCATCTGACTGTTTCCATGACGACACTTTCTTCTGTTCATGTGTTTGAGGCTCGAACCTGATCGCTGTCTAGCCTGTTTAACTACGCAAGGAAATGTGTGAAGCCCATTTTCCGGAGTCCCCCGCCGTGACATTGCGGGAATATTGCTAAAAATGGCGTAAAACCATACTCATTCACTCACAAACTGCGCGAGGGCGTGGGGTGGCCAATGGTCGAAGGCTTTGCACTTTGCTGTGTGGAGATGCATTTCTTTTTCATGCCAGGATCCATTGTTAGTGGGCTCGAATCCCAAATTCGTTCAGATAATGCTCTATGGTACCTCAGTAACATGACCCAGTTAATGGATTTTACCAATGTCATCAACGTCACTTTCGGTTTTGTTACCTATTAAGCTGACACGCCGTGATATAACTTGGCACCGCTTCACTCACTCAGCAATCCATGCTTGTCGTAAGAGGCGACTAACGGGATTGGGTGGTCAGGCTCGCTTATCTGGTTGATGCATGTCATCGTATCCCAATTGCGTAGATTGATTCACACGATGTCAATCACTTGATTGTCGGGTCCAGACTTGATTATTTAAAGACCGCCGTCATATAACTGGAATGTTGATGAGTGCGACGTTAAACAAAAAAGACACAAAAACCCTCACTCACCCACTCACTCAATCAGTTGTCGGTACCCGTTGTGGAGTGAGAGGGAAGTGGCTATCACCTGAGTATTAAAACAACAATAAAACGACAGTCGCGTGCATCAAAGTCAGATAGCCTTGTTATGTGGGACTGTGAGTGAATACAATCGACATGCCAGTACTTATTGACTGCCTGGAGATTCAGGTGAGTCCCCAGCAACTGGTTGGTGAGGGAACTGAATGGACCAGGTACAACAGGCCCCAGTCATATTGCTAGAATATTGCTGAGTGCTGCGTTAAACAAACAACAAGTCAAATAAAACCCCTCCTTGACCTCACTTTACAGTTCACAGACTCCAACCATCACACTACTTTGTCGCCATCATCAGTTTCATGGTGCCGTCACACCTTCACATCATCTACAGGATTCGGCACCAACAGGAGCGGTCACTTCCCAGAAAACGACTGAATTTAAGCAATGAGCACGCATATTGACAAGCAGTTTACACGACAAGGCTCCAACAAAGTCACAGTCCAGGCAGGTTCATGGTACAATACTTGCAGTTAACTTGTCCCTGACTTCATTTAATAGTGTTTGTTTGGTCTTGTTTCGGTTTCACGCCGCACCCAAGAGGTCAAGGTCACACTGACAAGGAGGAGGGGCGAGGGGAGGGGACGTGTATTCATTCCCCTATACATGTCTGTATACAGTTCGGGAAGGGCATTCTTGATGTGCCCCGCTTTGACATTCCTCGAATATTGCTGAAAGCGGTGTAAAACAATACTCACTCTTACTGGGCGGAATAACAACATGAAGACCTAGACTGGACCTTACATTCCAAGTGTCACCCTCTGTAAGTAAAATGAAACGGTTATGAGAAGTAGGAAGATCTATGTTTTCCGCCCTCTTTATGCGCCTGCGGGGCAACGTGGTCGCCGGTATTCGCTGTGCGAATGTAAATTCCTCTTATGAACCTTCGTTAGGATACCCGTGCTCGTGGTACACCTTTCCGATCAGCATCTCTTTAGAGTTTCCTCCTTTAGAAATCCCACAAGCAGCGTGAAACGTTTACAGAATGTACTTACAGATTTACATACTTTATAAGCACAATGAAAGATAAAGTTAGAAGTTAAATCATAAAAGTAAAACCTTATCGTCTAGCACAGTGGGCGCATTGAGGTCACACAATAAAAGTACTACAAGATAATTAAGTGTCACAGTTTCGCCTGTCCGTCATTGTAATTAAGGATTGCTGACTGACGCTCCAAGCGACATGGCACCCGTCGTGCATGTGAAGTCCCAACTTCATCTTAGATAGATAAGCATAAATGTCAATCAGGAGAAGTCCATTTATTCATGTCAATTCAAATGAAATTGTATAATATTCTTTGTTTATATTGTCCAATCAGAATGTAGTACGTACATACGGGGTATGAGAGAGACCGTGGACTCACGGAACGGGACCCCAGGTCAAACCCTTAGTTTAAATATTGGCCCTGTTACATTTGACCTTTGACCTTTTACATTTGACCTTTTATCCTAGATATTTGTTCATACTCGGTTTTTATTAATCGGGTTAATAGGCTAGAATTGAGAATACATATTAGTTGCCATGTCTTTTGACACTAAAGACTTTTACATCATGCAACTTTTACATCATTCATTAAGTCTTCTGTGTGCAAGGTTCTGGCATGAACTATCTGTGTAGGCTTTGTATCAAGTGTAACATGTACTATATCACTAAAACTTGCATTGTGTATCAGTCTGGTTCTGGCAATGGTGCCAAAAGAGCAATATGACTGTAGTGCACATGAATTTTGGGGGAATATTTCTCTTAACAAAAAAACCCCAAGAATAAGCAAACCTAGATAACACAAAAATAAGTTTTGATACAAAAATGTGTGAGTGAGTATGGTTTTACGCTGCTTTTAGCAATATTACAGCAATATCACCACGGGGGTCAGCAGAAATGGGCTTCACACATTGTACCCATATCAGGAATCGGGTCTTCGAGAGGGAATGCTTTAACCACAAGGCTACCCAACCACCCCTTTGATACAAAAAAATATGAATGTTTCATTATGATAGGCCAAAAATAAAATAATCAAAATATGCTGAATGTAGAATCTGTTAATCCTAATACCACATTCAGCAAATCAAATCCATGCATTAATACTGGAATAAACTGACATTTTCAATATGGCTGCCACTGGGGAATGTTTTAGCAGTTAGTTGGTAGTTTTTGCTTTTCACAATGAAGCTGATTATTTAGTTACACCATTGCTGGGATCATCTATGCAAAGTTTCAGCTTCAAATGCCTGGCTTCAGAGATGACGAACACATAACAGTTTATGAGGGACATGCACAACGCCATAACCTAACAAAATTAATCAGAAGTTAAATGTAAACATGGTCCTACTGCTGAATAAGTTATACAGTCTGGGTAGTTGGGTAATCATTATCAACCTGCAATTTAACCATGCATATGTCTGTGAAAAAAACTGTTTCACTTTTTCAACATATTTTAGTTGAGGACCTTTATGATGATAATTTTTAAAAAAAATGGATTTACAATGTTGAAAATATTCATTGAGGTGAGGTACAGAGCCTTCTGGTACTATTTATCCTTATCTCTGGTGACACTCCATTTCCTTCCAATGGATGTTAGGTCAATACGTAGTTCAAAGTCAAATAAACAAGAGGACAAAGTCATCGCTTTCCAAAATGGCAAATACTTGTCATGACATCTTGGGTAACAAATAGAACATTATAAACGTGTCTAAAGTCATGTCTAAATTCCTGTTTTGAGACACTCATGTCATAAACATAGTATGACATAAACACTCATATAATATCCTCTATTTATTACCTACAAGAGCAAACATATCGGGGTTCATAAAAATCATATGTGCCCTTGGGTCATATCACGTCACGAGTCAAGAGTGTATTATTTCCATCATCCGACATCATTCGAATCTTACTGTGGCGTGAGGTGGGAATGACGTCACTAGAAACGACATCATAGCTGAAGATTGTTGATGTCATTCGACAAATTGTAGTTACGCTGCTGTTGCGACTTGCTGTCCTTATAGGTAAACACTAAAATCGTCTTCGGTAATAAATAGAACATTATATTCATGTTCATATCATACTATGTTTACGACACGGTGTTGTATTTATATTGTTGCCATGTAAACTCGAAAAAATATATTTTTAAAATTCCCAAACTATCAAAAGGCACAAGTTCACCACTGGACCTATCTGTGTGCCAAGTTTAGTTAAGAAATATTGTATGGTTTTCAAGATCTGTTCATAAAACAAACACTCCCCCCCCATTTTCAGTCTCAGTCAAAGTAGTTGCCATGGAAACTCGAAAAACATTTTTGTGGATGGAAGAGATAGTCTGACAGTGTCCATTTTAATACCCCCACAAAAAAGCATTGCAGGGGATAATAAAAGCATCATCTAGTAACAACTGTACCTAGCTTGATGAAGAAGCTTGAAGGGTTCTAGGAATTTTGCTCAAGAAATAAGCAAAACTAAATAGTATTTGAGCATGTTTGAATACCAATTATAGCCACAAAGCTCTGTAGCTCACTTATGTTTTGAAAAAATGGCAGCCATACATAATATTGGATTTGGAATCTGTGAACACTTCTTAGAGACACAACAAAGGGATCATTCATACATTTCAGCAACATAGGTCCTACCAAAGTTCTGGACGGACCCACAATGTGTCACAACAAATGCATTTGACTTCCTAAATCATAATCTAGAAACAGAATGTGAGGGACACATGTACAAGGACATGAGCAGGTGTGGGATAATGAATGAGTGAGGGAGTTGAGTCTTATCACAGATGTGAACAGTACTACAGATAAATCAGGGCATGTGAGCTTAATGTTGGCGAAGAGTACAAAGGGATGCTTGTCTTAGACTATTCAAACCCACAACCGTAGGAATCTGGCTTGACTAGGAGATGCAACTATGTGCAGTGACTAGCTGCACAGACCAATATGCATTCTGTCAGGTTCCTTCTCACTATTAGGTTACTCTTGAAAAAACACACACAAAACATTCATTTTCTTAGAAAGCAGCTTTATTAAATCTCTTGTACTCATATAGTATGTGCTGGCATTCCAATTCATAACAACGTGCCCTGACACTCAGGGAGTACAGACATAACATCATCTGACCCCCGTGTTGGTGTAACACAGCAGCAGGAGTAGCAGAGCATCTCCATGACAACATCTGACCCCTGTTTGGTGTACCACAGCAGGAGTAGCAGAGCATCTCCATGACAACATCTGACCCCTGTGTTGGTGTACCACAGCAACAGGAGTAGCAGAGCATCTCCATGACAACATCTGACCCCCTTGTTGGTGTACCACAGCAGCAGGAGAAGCAGAGCATCTTCATGGCAACTTCTGACCCCTGTGTTGGTGTACCACAGCAGCAGGAGTAGCAGAGCATCTCCATGACAACATCTGACCCCTGTGTTGGTGTACCAGAGCAGCAGGAGTAGCAGAGCATCTCCATGACAACATCTGACCCCCGTGTTGGCGTACCACAGCAGCAGGAGTAGCAGAGCATCTCCATGACAACATCTGACCCCTGTTTGGTGTACCAGAGCAGCAGGAGTAGCAGAGCATCTCCATGACAACATCTGACCCCTGTGTTGGTGTACCACAGCAGCAGGAGTAGCAGAGCATCTCCATGACAACATCTGACCCCTGTTTGGTGTACCAGGGCAGCAGGAGTAGCAGAGCATCTCCATGACAACATCTGACCCCCCTGTTGGTGTACCACAGCAGCAGGAGTTGCCGAGAGCCACATGACATACAGACACGTCAAATCAGAACAATGACTCTACCATCAGTAATGCTATTAAATGACTCATAAAATATATAGCAGTAGGTCATTATCTATAAGTATTTGTTGTATCTTGATGATGTAAGTGTAACATTAGACCCTAAAGAGAAGCTCTATATAGGGCATTAATAAAGTCCTGTAACCAACATCACTTGTCTCATACACCAAGCCCTATTTTGTCAAAATAACTCCAACTAGAAATGGCCATGGCTTGAACAATGTCATAGAGGCCTTCATTTTGATATGTTTACATACAAGGACACTGCTGAGAAAGTCCTCCAACATGATCAGCACAGACCACAATAAACTCATTTCATGTTCTTTGGAATCAACTTGTTTTGGTGGTGTTCTCTCTCTCAGGCTGTTAATTCCTTAATCATTCCACAAAAAAGCCTGCTAACATACACAGTGTAAGAAGCTGAGAAGCCCTTGGTGCACTTGAATCCAACAGCCCCTAAATGTCAAATATTTAACATTGGGGTCATTTATGCCCTAAATTCCATGCTTAATATGGAAACACTGATGTACACAGTCTGGCCATACAGCTCGTGGTCAAAGAGGCTTTCAAACGATGATCACAAGGGAAACCACAAGAACAAAAAATGATGCCTCCAAACAAAAGTGCTTGTGTTTCCTTGGTTACCGGCATGATCACTTTAACAGATATTGATTGCAAGAGAGGTGTTGACTAGGGATGTCGTTGTATATTGTGATTATCAAATATATTAATATCGATATTAAATAAATAATTCACTGCCACGGAAATGTTTCCATCTATTAAGATTACCATTGTTCAGGACAATGAGAAGGCAGACAATTGACAGGCCCTCATAATGCCATACAGTGGGACAAATTATTTAAACCTTTCACTGTTCCAAACAAAGCTGGAACTTAAAAATATATGTGGATAAAATTGTACTTCATCCCTTTTACTCAAATTTAAGAAAGTTAGATCAGATTTAATAGACCGATAATGTACATGATGTTGACCAGACAAAAGGACAGGGAACGGGTTTGTTGTGGTTGTGATGGAAGTGTGAGAAGGCCTGTCAGTCAGTAGCTCAAGACTCACGAGGCAAACATAACCACTTCATGAATAGCAGGAAGTACAAGAGTTATCCCCACCTTAAAACCACTGCAAACAGTTATCCCCCTTTCCCCAAACAATATCAATGTCAAGCACAAGGTCAGCAACAGAATGTAATTATGCACAACTCAGCTCAAAATTAGCATATATGTACAAGATATATACATAACTCAGTAACAACATGTATTAACAGATGATGATTTGGTAGAACATGCAACATTATTCAGAACCGAACATATCACCACTAATCTTTTGTTCTCTCTCATTCATGATCCACAAAATAACTGATACATGAAAAACATTTGAAGTCCAAGATGTAGATGAACTCACAGTGATATCAGAGACTTAATCTTGTATTCAGCCAGACTATTGCCAAACACCACTTCAACATTGTCAGTATCTTGAAGAAATGTTAAGTTTTCTTTGAAATTGTTTTTATCTGATTCCACCTATGAAGTAAGTAGTTTACAATCATTCTCAGGTAATAGCAACATGAACATGGTCAGTGATAAATAATACTTATTGTGAGATGTGAATCATGCATGACAACAGTGAATGAACAACAACATCTCCTTGTCCCCTCCCAGACAGACAACAGTCACACAGCACATGCGTTTATATACACTCAGATACATGTGCTTCTCAACCCACCATCTTGAAAAAGGGATCATACACAAGCCCTTTGGGTGTCGCCTAGAGAAGAAGGTATCAATTTGAACTGGACTTCAATACGACTAATAAAAAAAGAAAAACATCAGATAAAAAAAATAAATATGAAAAACCTGACTTGGACTCACCGGGAAGAATGGTAAAGTAGTTCTTAGTCCCTATTTCCACAACACCATCTTAGCATTAGGACCACTGTAGCTTTGTCCAGGCCCAGGAGTTGATTTAACCAAACAATTTATTTGCACACTGTAAATTAGCAGGTTCTATGTGCACTAATAACAGTGAAGTACTATGCTCAGTCAAACGCAATGAACTTGTAATGGGCAATGCTGTCTTTACCTTCATTCCATCGCCTATGTATTAACATACATATATATATTCATGAAAGAATGAATGATACATGATCGCCATGACAATAATGATGACTCTTAACAAACATAATGGCTATAATGTTTAAATATTAATTGTTAGTTCTGTGAAATTTTAGTTATTTTGGTTTAGTTAATGAAAATTCACGATTGTTACTTTACGAGAGATCTTTGACATATTTGTATTTCCTTTATAAATGGTTTGAGATCACAACACAAATATTCAGTAATAAATGGCCAAACTAGTTATGTGATTCACACCTTGGATAACTGTAAATACACACAGAAAGGTAATGCTGACCACACCACAACCAAACTCCAAATGGTGGAAAAACGAGGAGTGATTAACACAGGACATGTGGCGGAAAGCTTCTCTGTGTGCTACTTAGAGGCATCTTCCCGAGGCAAGGGAGTTAACTGACTGTAATAGTCCAATTTTCAACTAGGCTGGAATTTTCAGACTCGACCGTAGCACCGCCAGAGGTTATTACGAGTTATGTCCCTTCTATTGACAATCCAATTGCACCTCTCATTTCACTTGCATTTGCTTCAAAACAAAATGGTGGCACCCATTGAAGGCGATCTGATCGATAATCAAGAACTATATTGTAATAAATGGGTCTTACCTAGCATCAAATCACATGAGCACCTTGATTAAAAACATGAAAAGATTTGGAAAATATCTGTTGACCCTAAGTTGACAGAACATCCTGCAATCGACCGAAATCTGTATGGCAGTTTATTAACCGGATGTCAGTTTCGTTACGCGATTTTGATTGGACTATGCATAGACTCGTTAGTCTAGCCAACATGTAACTCCATAATTCCAGCTTAGTTTGGCAAAGGTGGAAACTGGACTTTTATAGTCAGTTAACTCCCTTGCCTCAGGAGGATGAGTTGGAGGAAGTGTCTTTCTTCTATATAAGACGTTTCTTACCCTTGATGACTTAGTGACCAAAGAATCAAGAATCACTATGGCTGCCCTGGAAGCCATCTTGAAATATAGGTGATTGTCACATGACAGCAATCAGAGCATCTTTTATATAGCTGTAATGACAATCAAGGATTAATGATCACATGACAAACAAAAATGACATGACAAGTAACATATAAAGAATCACATGAAAGTGCAGACCACATGACAAGTCACATGTCAACAATCATGTGACCAGTCAAAAGAAACATGACATTAGAAGTCACAACCAGAAGATGCACCCAGTTATTCCACACGCAGCTGCAAGCCTCATTCATGCATCACACAGTCTCCGTGTAGGTCCCGGGAATAGTGCATATGTTTGTGTTGCATACTGAGAAAACCCACTGTTTCAGTGCTAGCCTACCTAGTACCACACGGAATGCATGTAGACAGAGGGGCCAGTCAGCAAACGGCTTCATCTAGGGGGGCGGCTCACTGAGACATGTATAGTACTGTAATTTAGGTTACGTTTGTGTAGGAAATATCAATCACCTGCATCCTTTCTTCTTTCTTCATCACTTGGCTAACATATGTTTTTCCCAAACCACAGGGTCGATGGTTGAAAGAAAAAGAAAAAGAAACTCCTAAAGACATTGAAGGGAGGGTGAAAAATATATGTCACAGGTCTACTTTGCTACCTTTGTTAATCTGATTCTTCAAGACTGAAACTGATTATGAAACTCAGTGGGGAAAAAAGATTTGTTTACAAACTGTAGTCCACACTTGTGAACCTTAGGGTAAGTGAGTCCATAAACCAAGTGACTTAAAAAACAAAACAGGCCTTAGTTGTGGAGCACTTGGTTGTGTACCAAGAAAATGAACATATTTATATACAAGTATTTGCCCTTGCCTCTAACGTACACTGAAGATTAATGCATGTAGCATGGCTAAATACCATGATCTACCAGGTAAATAAAGGTTCTGTTATCTCAAAGGTATAGGAATTATAGCTAAAAATGTTGTCTTATTCAAGGGAAATAAGACATTGACTGGAAAGTCTTTCAAAATATTCACCTGACAAAAATTAAAATATCTGTGCCACTGCAACTGAACAATGATAAATGTAGATATTTCTCTAAAACTGGAATATTTGGGGTATCAAAGCACCATAACAAATATATTTATGCTAACATTGTTCATCTTAAGTCAAGGGTTTCGGTCAATGGCTGTTTCAGCTACGAGCCATTAGTTACATAAAAACACATCATAATAAAAGACATGTACATCATTCTGACTACCCATAATTCATTGAGAAAGGCATGAAAACAGAATGTTGTGGCTCAAAGTCATAGGACTTGTGGACCGTATAGTTTAAGAATATTTCAGTCATGCTGCAGGTCAGTGATGTTTACCAACTGGGTGACCCCACACTCATGGGTAAGATGCTTCCAGGCAAGGTGGATGAAGAGGGTACTTCAGGGATTCAAACCAACATCAAAAGGTCTGGGTGATTCTGTACGCTAAGTTAGACCATTGGGCCAAATCTGCTGTCATTGTCTTGGGTTTATTGGCAGATTTTGCTTTTAACACTGAAGCTGATCATTATTCATAGTTGAAAGATTAGGTCGTAAGTACACAACCAATACACTAGAGTCCGGTTCTGAACAAAAGGGGGCATGGGTGGCCCAGTTGTCTAAGGCTCCACAATTCGCTGGGCACGCCAGAAACCTATGATTGTGGGTTTCAATCCTGGTTCGCCCGATTGTGTTTTTGGGTTTGCCAACACCATACCTGTGCTCGTGGGTTTCACCAAAGTGGTAAACATCTGAGACCTGAATCACTTCGGGCTTTCCTCCAAATTTAAGCTGTCACGCTGTGATATAACTGGAATACTGTTCAAAGGAGCCTTAAACCCAACTCACTCTGAACAACAACATTGTTTTCTATGCCTTAATAAACACAATAATCATAAACAACAAAAACATTATTCAAACATAATAACTCATCTCAAACGAATACATAACACACAAATAAACTAAGTAAGTATTAGTAATGTTAAACTATGTTTATACACTACAATAAATAAGTAACCATTGTAACACAGACAAATCACAGAGAAGGTCAGGCAGAAACTGCAGGTTATATAACAGTTTATGCAGTGTTATTGGGAAGATGAGCACCGGACAAAGGGGAAAACTTAAACATTGCCATCATCCTGTCACTCGGCAACACAAATAATACCGTCACCACTGGAACCGAAAAACTAACAGAACAAAATCATTAGAACACAATACATTTTGAGCAGCATAATGGCCAATGTAGGGGGAATACATACATCACTGTACAAGACATTTGTCAAACCTAGACTGATAACAACTCCTTTCAACATGTAGCTTGGAACAGGGTCTGAAACTAACATAAGTCTGCTAGTCCGACACTGGTAACATTCAGGTCTGAAACTAACATAGGTCTGCTAGTCCGACACTGGTAACATTCAGGAAGGACTAGTGACATTTCCTGGTGCTACTACTTTTACCATTAGATAGATGGAACACTGTAGTAAGGAACATGTCTTTCTAATATGTAACAGAGTGGCTGGGACTTTATCAAGAATTAGTTATCACTTCTACAGCCAGGATTCACCCTATTCAGGATGCATACATCAGGCCATCAACTGACTCTTAACTGATCCATGTGGGCAGACTCAATGTCTCTGTACACGGCTGATCCATGTGGACAGATTCTGACGCGTACAAGGCTGATCCATGTGGACAGACTCAATGTCCCTGTACAAGGCTGATCCATGTGGACAGACTCTGTCCCTGTACAAGGCTGATCAATGTGGACAGACTCAATGTCCCTGTACAAGGCTGATCCATGTGGACAGACTCTGTCCCTGTACAAGGCTGATCCATGTGGACAGACTCAATGTCCCTGTACAAGGCTGATCCATGTGGACAGACTCAATGTCCCTGTACAAGGCTGATCCATGTGGACAGACTCTGTCCCTGTACAAGGCTGATCCATGTGGACAGACTTTGTCCCTGTACAAGGCTGATCCATGTGGACAGACTCAATGTCCCTGTACAAGGCTGATCCATGTGGACAGACTCTGTCCCTGTACAAGGCTGTTCCATGTGGACAGACTCTGTCCCTGTACAAGGCTGATCCATGTGGACAGACTCTGTCCCTGTATAAGGCTGATCCATGTGGACAGACTCAATGTCCCTGTACACGGCTGATCAATGTGGACAGACTCAATGTCCCTGTACAAGGCTGATCCATGTGGACAGACTCGTTGTCCCTGTACACGGTTGATCCGTATGGACAGACTCGATGTCCCTGTACAAGGCTGATCAATGTGGACAGACTTGATGTCCCTGTACATGGCTGATCCATGTGGACAGACTCTGTCCCCGTACATGGCTGATCCATGTGGACAGACTCAATGTCACTGTACATGGCTGATCCATGTGGACAGACTCTGTCCCTGTACAAGGCTGATCCATGTGGACAGACTCGATGTCACTGTACATGGCTGATCCATGTGGACAGACTCGATGTCCCTGTACAAGGCTGATCCATGTGGACAGACTTGATGTCCCTGTACATGGCTGATCCATGTGGACAGACTCTGTCCCCGTACATGGCTGATCCATGTGGACAGACTCGATGTCACTGTACATGGCTGATCCATGTGGACAGACTCGATGTCCCTGTACATGGCTGATCCATGTGGACAGACTCTGTCCCCGTACATGGCTGATCCATGTGGACAGACTCTGTCCCCGTACATGGCTGATCCATGTGGACAGACTCGATGTCACTGTACATGGCTGATCCATGTGGACAGACTCGATGTCACTGTACATGGCTGATCCATGTGGACAGACTCGATGTCACTGTACATGGCTGATCCATGTGGACAGACTCAATGTCCCCGTACATGGCTGATCCATGTGGACAGACTCGATGTCACTGTACATGGCTGATCCATGTGGACAGACTCGATGTCACTGTACATGGCTGATCCATGTGGACAGACTCGATGTCACTGTACATGGCTGATCCATGTGGACAGACTCGATGTCCCTGTACACGGTTGATCCATGTGGACAGACTCTGTCCCCATACATGGCTGATCCATGTGGACAGACTCTGTCCCCGTACATGGCTGATCCATGTGGACAGACTCTATCCCTGTACATGGCTGATCCATGTGGACAGACTCGATGTCCCGATACACGGTTGATCTATGTGGACAGACTCTGTCCCCGTACGTGGCTGATCCATGTGGACAGACTCTGTCCCTGTACATGGCTGATCCATGTGGACAGACTCTGTCCCCGTACATGGCTGATCCATGGGGACAGACTCTATCCCTGTACACGGCTGATCCATGTGGACAGACTCAATGTCCCTGTACACGGCTGATCCATGTGGACAGACTCAATGTCCCTGTACACGGTTGATCCATGTGGACAGACTCAATGTCCCTGTACACAACTGATCCATGTGGACAGACTCAATGTCCCTGTACACGGCTGATCCATGTGGACAGACTCAATGTCCCTGTACACAACTGATCCATGTGGACAGACTCAATGTCCCTGTACACAACTGATCCATGTGGACAGACTCTGTCCCCGTACATGGCTGATCCATGTGGACAGATTCTTATGTCCCTGTATGGATAACAGATCCATAAAACCAGATTCTACATCCCTGTACAGACTGACCATGCTCTCCACTGTTAACAGTGATTAGACATCTTTTACTTGGTAGTGGGTAGAAGAAAAGGGTAACTGACACTGACACCTACTGGACACAGTCAGTGTAGCAGCAGACACAGTCAGTGTAGATGCAGACACAGTCAGTGTAGCAGCAGACACAGTCAGTGTAGATGCAGACACAGTCAGTGTAGCAGCAGGCACAGGTAAGTGTAGCAGCAGACACATTCAGTGTAGCAGCAGGCACTATCAGTATTGTAGCAGACACATGTAAGTGTAGCAGCAGACACAGTCAGTGTAGCAGAAGACACTATCAGTATTGCAGCAGACACAGGTAAGTGTAGCAGCAGACACCATCAGTATTGCAGCAGACACAGGTCAATGTAATGACAACATCAGCTTTGTGCTGACCCTATCTAGGTTTGACTGATGTCACCAGAAAGACATTCACACTGATATGCATCACCCCTGCAAATTACTTAATCTTGGTTAACCAAAGATAAACCACAGGAAAACCAGATTTTTTCACAACATTGGCTTCCAAACAACCATCAAATCTCGCATACTTTGTACATCTATGTTAGGTGAAGGTCAACCGGTGAGAGGTCGAAGGTCAACCCGCACTTTCTCACAGCTACTCAGCATTCCTATTGTTGGGTAGAACCCCCCTCGTGGTATTGCCACCTGCCTCTTTCCAACCATCTTGCCATTCCTTGTGAAGAAAACCTGCAGGTAAGAATACAAGGGAGGTAACTCTATATCTCTGCGACAACAAAGACTTTAACATGTATTGAGGGTTATTCATTAATAATATATCACAGAATAAACTTGTGAGAATAATCGGACTCATGGCAGAAATAGAAATTTCTTCCCACATCGACCTTCCTGGCCTCTACCCATACTGTTCTCCACGATACACATCTACCCATACTGATCTCCATGTTACACATCTACCAATACTGTTCTCCATGTTACACATCTACCAATACTGATCTCCATGTTACACATCTACCCATACTGTTCTCCGTGTTACACATCTACCAATACTGATCTCCATGTTACACATCTACCAATACTGTTCTCCATGTTACACATCTACCCATACTGTTCTCCATGTTACACATCTACCCATACTGTTCTCCATGTTACACATCTACCCATACTGATCTCCATGTTACACATCTACCCATACTGTTCTCCATGTTACACATCTACCCATACTGTTCTCCATGTTACACATCTACCAATACTGTTCTCCATGTTACACATCTACCCATACTGTTCTCCATGTTACACATCTACCCATACTGATCTCCATGTTACACATCTACCCATACTGTTCTCCATGTTACACATCTACCAATACTGATCTCCATGTTACACATCTACCCATACTGATCTCCATGTTACACATCTACCCATACTGTTCTCCATGTTACACATCTACCCATACTGTTCTCCATGTTACACATCTACCCATACTGTTCTCCATGTTACACATCTACCCATACTGTTCTCCATGTTACACATCTACCCCTATTGATCTGAAAATGACACATTTACCCATATTGTCCTTTCTGGTATACATCTACCCATATTGTCCTCTCTGGTATGTATCTACCCATATTGTCCTCTCTGGTATGTATCTACCCATATTGTCCTCTCTGGTATGTATCTACCAATATTGACTTCTCTGGTATGTATCTACCCATATTGTCCTCCCTGGTATGTATCTACCAATATTGACCTCTCTGGTATGTATCTACCCATATTGTACTCTCTGATATACATCTATCCATATTGTTATCTCTGGTATACATCTACCCATATTGTACTCTCTGGTATACATCTACCCATATTGTACTCTCTGGTATACATCTACCCATATTCTACTCTCTGGTATACATCTACCCATATTGTACTCTCTGGTATCCATCTACCAATATTGTCCTCTCCGGAAGGTATTTACACATATTGTCCTCTCTGGCAAGTATCTACCCATACTGTCCTCTCTGGTATGTATCTACCTGAACTTTAGTCCCCACATCCTCTGGGTGGCGGGCCCAGCCCTCCTCCTCCTCTTCCTCCGAGTCTGAGGACAACTCGTCATTCTCAAGAGACACATCATCCTCTGGATCTTCTGGTGAAAGGTCACTGTCTGCCTCACTGTCATAGTCGTTGGGGAAGTAGATTCCACAGCCCATAATGTCACCTGCACAATGATAAAATGACATGAGAGACATGCATCGCAGACTAATGTTTGTAGCAGAAAAGCCTTGCTGTCCTGAACATAGAGTCATACTCTATCCATTATTCAATAGGACCTTTGTTACACAAGGCCAATACCCCCAGTGCAGGTTGGTAGCCAAATGGGGTGTACAACATACCTTTGTGGCATCTTGGGCCAAATGGATCTCCAATTCCAGATCCAACGAAGATTTTCCCATCATCTGAAAGTACACATCAAGTTAGTTAATCCCAGTTTGAGTCCAGTTGGAAAGATATGATGCTACAAACAAGCACATATATTACATGGGGGTATTTTAAAGACCAAGGACCCACCTACTCACCTGCCAGGTATGCTTCAGACCCACACTTCCAAGTAATCACCTGCAAGGTATGCTATAGACCCACACTTCCAACTAATCACCTGCCAGGTATGCTATAGACCCAGATTCCAGCTAATCACCTGCAAGGTATGCTATAGGCCCACACTTCCAAGTAATCACCTGCCAGGTATGCTATAGACCTATGGTTGCAGCTAATCACCTGCAAGGTATGCTATAGACCCACACTTCCAACTAGTCACCTGCCAGGTATCCTATAGACCTATGGTTGCAGCTAATCACCTGCCAGGTATCCTATAGACCTATGGTTGCAGCTAATCACCTGCCAGGTATGCTATAGACCTATGGTTGCAGCTAATCACCTGCAAGGTATGCTATAGACCCACACTTCTAACTAATCACCTGCAAGGTATGCTATAGACCTATGGTTCCAGCTTCTCACCTGCCAGGTATGCTATAGACCTATGGTTCCAGCTACTCACCTGCATGGTATGCTATAGACCTATGGTTCCAGCTACTCACCTGCATGGTATGCTATAGACCTATGGTTCCAGCTACTCACCTGCATGGTATGCTATAGACCTATGGTTCCAGCTACTCACCTGCATGGTATGCTATAGATCCACGGTTCCAGCCTGGATGTCGATGACGTGGATAGTTCTGAAACATAATGACACATCATTACTTCAAGTACAAAACATAACTTAAGTACTATTGAAGTTTCCAAAATTATTCAAATGTTGGTTGGGCCACAGGCATTCCCTTATTCCCCTTGACCATGATAGAGAACAGCTCCCAAATGTCACGTTTATCAGGTTTCACCTATCTTTTCTAGGGACGTTTCTTAATACGACAAAGTGTTTCATTACAGTCTTTACAGTGAAACAACTCATAGGCAAATCTAACCCCTGAACCTATAAATGAAGCAGCAATTTGTCGGTTTCAGTAATGAAACTGCCACAGATACAAATGTGGTGCCCTATACTTCACTAAAAGAGTGAAGTCTCCAAGATACTGTGAGATTATGTGACTCGAGTGGTTGTGAAAGGCTGCCTACCCTCCTGGCCACCCCAATAGCAATGTAGCAGTTCTCCCCTGGGTCTACGATCTCCAGCTCAAAGTAGTGGAAGGTGGTGTCAAGTGGACATCTCGCCTGGGCCAGCCCAACGTCATGGATGCTCTTCCCCCGACCACCATACTCCAGGATCTGCAACAGGAGACTAAACTTCCAGATCCATGCCGCCAGTGAGTTGGTGAACGTGTCAAGGTAACTACAACATGGTTGCTGAAGATGACGCCAACAATGGTTCTCCCCAGGGGTCAGGAAACCGTCATATGCGCCGGACATGTCCGATTGGGAATCTCAAATGTCCGGTTTAAAATATTGCTTACCGGACATTTTAAAAAGTATTGTCCGGACATTCTTAAATTTTGACCGGACATGATCAACAGTTAGGACTGAGCAGTTTCTGTCTGCAGTTGTAACACAATGAAGATTATCTACACTGACAAGCTTTGTTTGTTTTGATTGCTGTAAATACATCGTACCTACATGATAGTCCAATCGGTCAATAACTGTAAATAGGCAATAAACTAAGTTGACACTGATTAATCGAGGATTAATTACTGAGAACATCTTGTTAATTTGCGTGAAAGGTGTTTACAACTGTACATAAATACCTTGCATCATCGATGTACCTCATTATCCTCACACTGCTACGATACGTAACCTCAGACAAGAAGCGAAAGCGTGACGACAGCCAGTCGACCGATGCAGATCAGTTGAGCGGATCTGCCAAACCCTCAAAGTCTAGACGATCATTTTGTAAGTCGTGGCTAACGACTTTCACTTGGTTGACATACAATGAAGATTTGCAGATTTTATTGTTTTCAGTAGCTAGTCGTATATTGAATCTTGATTGACCGCCATTTTGCTTTCTCGGACGATCGATATCAATTTTTTTTATGGTCAATAATTAAGTAAAGATGAAAAAAGTATTCAAATAACTATTGCCCTTAACGATATTTTAGTATTTGTGATTAAATTATCTGTCTTGTTTTTAAAAAATCTTTAGTTTAAAAAAAACCTTTTCCCGTGAGGTCACGTGATAACCAAATATGGGATAATAGTCTCGATCCAAATGTTACAACGCGTACACTTGAGCAGACTCATGAATATAACTCATGAATATTAATTCGACCGTTTACTACGTTAACAGATTGTTATTATAACAGAAACAAACGTATGTTTTCCATCTTTTTCTAAAATGATATTATTTGTTATTAATTGTCCGGTGAATTAAACAATTGAAATTGAAACAATTCATAATTCATCATATTATGAATACATAAACTTGTAATGTGTGTGAAAAGTCGTACTTAAATACGCTATTTGAAGGGGGCGTGGCCTAAATGCAAATGTCCGATTGGGATTTTAAATTTTCCGGACCCCTGGTTCTCCCAAACTTCACCTATTCCTTCAGTCAAACCCACCCTCTGCACGATAGTGAGAAGTCATCAACAAATAAATATATTGCAAGCAATTCTGTGGCATTTGATTTATTAAACAACCACCTTTTTCAGCATTAATGTTTCCATAAACTGAAAAATGAGGCCACTTACACAAACAGAGCACTGTATCCTGATTGGCTGATAATACAGAATGGTCAGGGTTTGTTTGGCATTATTGCGCTGAACGATGTCAATGATTTTGTACTGCTAACATTTTTAGTCCACTAGTCCTCACTAACAGAGGTTTGATAACATTTGAAGTATTCATGGTAATAATATGTTGCAGCGGAAGACTGACCGTGCCATTCAACTTGATGTCGTGTAGGCGCGTCCACTCCTCCTCCCCGCTGTCCACTGCCATCAACATGCACTCCTCTGACGTCCACTCCGAGTCCAGCGTCAACTTGACCTCCTCCCCCTCCGAGTGCAGCCCTATGGCTGGGTATAAGCCCCCTGGGGGTACGGGCACCGACACTGTGCCCAGCTGCAGAGGGACACACAGACATATGTAATACTCAAGGGGGGCATCCAACACAACATAGACACTAACAGTAACACTACAAGGACACTAACACTGCAAAAATGCCAATAAACCACAAAGATGCCAATAGACCACAAAGACACTAACAGTAACAGTGATGATAGTAACACTACAACATCACCAAAATTTACAGAGGTACTAACATCAAAAGGACACTAACACTACAAAGATGCTAACATTAAAAGGACACTAACACTAGAAAGATGCTAACAATACAAAGAGAGATACACTATGAAGACGATAACATAACAAACACAGTTATACTACAAAGATGCTACCGTGTTTTCTTGAGTACAGTGCGCACTAGTGTAACACTACAAGGCACAATCACTATGACACTAACACTACAAATATGCTAACACTACAAGGCACAATCACTGTGACACTAACACTACAAAGAGGCTAACAATACATAGAGGCTAACATTACATAGATGCTAACACTACAAGGAAACTAATACTGCAAAGATGCTAACACTACAAGACACAATCACTGTGACACTAACACTACAGAGGCTAACACCACAAAGCACAATCACTATGACACCAACACTACAAAGAGGCTAACACTACAAAGATGCTTACACTACAAGGACACTAATACTACATAGATCCTAACACATAAGGACACTAATACCATAAAGATTCTAACACTACAAGAACAGTAACAACAAAAACACAAACACTACAAAGATTCTAACACTACAAGGATGCTTACACTTCAAGGACACTAACACCACAATGATACTATCACTACAACACTAACACAACAAAGATGCCAACAATACAAGGACAGTAACACTACAAGGACACTAAAACTATAAAAATGCTAACACAACAAGGGCACTAAAACTACAAATATGCTAACACTACAAGGGCACTAATGCTACAAAATGCAAAATTACAAATGCACTAACACCACAACAAAACTATACATGCTGATGCTAACAGCAACACTACATAGACACTAAGACAATCCCAACAATGACATCACAAGGAGGCTGACACCTCACAGGCTCACCTCCTTCCCATTGCGTGTGAAGAACACCTTGGCGGTGAGTGGACTCCCTGACTCTATGTCGCTGATGCTGTACTTGATGCCACAGCCAATGCGGTCGCCCACGTGGCACTTGGGGCCAAACGCCTTCCCAAAGCCACATGCCTTGTATAATCTGAAAATATGCATTGTTCTTAGTTTAAGCGTTTGACAGACAGGCTTCAGGATTTCAACATCTTCTTAGGTTAAAGGTTAGGTTACATGTTCAGCATCATAGTTGACAAATAACCTTATCTGTGCAGTACCAAGAGCCAGGCAGCACCTGTTCACGGACTACTACCAGGATGTCTGTCATGCCTTCATTACATGAAGAAGCTTGATACTCACTGAGATATATTCTGGGGGAGTCACACCTCTACTTAGCAAAAACTTGGCGGGAAATGTGCCTTTGTTTAATAGTCAAAGATTTCTCAGTAAGAATCGTCATATTTATGTTTACATTGACACTGCTAATGTTATGTCCCAAATTTCTCACTGCAAGTTAAACATTTCAAAGGATGTTTTAAGGTAAAAAGATATTTGTCGACAGTTGCCAAATCTCTTTATGTCTATCTTATCTTATCTCTAGCATGTCTACAGGCACTCCATCAGATTACCTCCTGGCTCTCCTTCAGTTTTTTAACATTTTCCAACTGATGTAACATGTACTGAATTTACTAATACAAGATCTATCTGCCAGTGTTGCTCAACTAGCTCTAGTGGGTAACATCATAACGTCATACTCATGATATGGAATACTGTTAAAAGCGGCATTAAACATGATAATAATGAAACTGGCCATGCAGACCCGCCAGCAGTCTTCCTGGGTTTCTATCAATAGCTAATCAGGTAACAAGATTATTTTATGGGTAAAGGCAATGCACAGCTGCTACTCACTTGCCATCATCAGCATGATAGCCCACGGAGAATGGCTTCCAGCCGGGCTGAGCATCCAGCGTGTAGCGACACGGCACCAGACCCACACCTAAACAATATCAAATAGCATCCAGCATCAGGTGAACAGTCAACTACAGTTAGAACTGACCTGCACATGATGTAATCTATCAACACAGCTATTCAGTTCACCCTAACATGGGCCATATGTCAGCATTTCCAGATTTTCTAATTAGAGACTAATTGTAAAGCCACAACGAATAATTAAAAGATTTTAATCCAGATTTCATTATTTCATATCTTTTTAACATACAGTTCAAGGCAATACTGTCAATCGAATAATTCATGAGGGTCAACTAGCAGAATAATAATAATAATAATAATAATAATAATAATAATAATGTAGCAATTATCCATCAGCATGATTGGTCATACCTATATTTCCAAACAAGCCTGTGTCAATGATTTCTATCTCGAAGTAGTTGTCCTCAGGTGAGATGGGACAGGCTGCGATGTACAAACCCACTTTGTTGCCATCATTGGGCATGAAACTGAAATGAGTAGGCACACAGTCAGCTTAATAACCCTGATAACACGTCTCGTGAACAAGTCAACCATCTTGGGATCTTTACATGGCTTAGGGTGGTAAACACAAACTTTCCTTGTGTGAATGATGTCGCAAGGACATGGGACCACTTTGGCATTTCCAATATGTCTGCCAAGAGTGGCACATTGAAATATTATACAATTCATATACCCCGCTAACCTTAAACAAACTCATAACCATGATAACACTGAGAACCCAAAAGCTACTGTCCACTTTCATGGGTATAAATGATCAGATGAAGCTGCACATATAAGAAAGTTTCTCGCTGACCTTATTATCTCCCCCTCCACTCCAAGGCGATCATATCGTGGCTGTCTTCGTATGTCTGGTAGATGAGCATCGCGAAGGCGTTGATGATGCCGCACACGACACACATTAAGGATCTGATTCCTCAGGAACGCTTCCATCGTGGAAGAGTGAGCTCAAAGGTCAGCGCAATCTCACTGTGACGTCGGCCCCTGACAACAAGTAGTACATGTCACAAGCAGAACATCAAATACAAGTTGCAGTTGTTTTATCGCTATTTCAGGGTTTCACAGATGCAAAATTTCATATTGTAAATAAAAATAGTGCCAAGATACTGCAGCTCACCTGGATATGTACCAACTAAAACTGTCAACAAACACAGCTTCCTCCATATCTCCAGGGCTCGCATTTTGGTCAACCTACACGAGACCCTGGATACCTTCCCGTGCTTCTCAAATTACCCTTCCTTCATTTTCATTCCATCCATATCATATCCAAACATTTTCTGCCTAAATATTAAGGACTTATTGACAAATAGGAAACAAGTAACTACATTTCAACACTCCTTAATCCGTGAAAAGAAAACATTATCTGGATTATGATCTATTTTCTTTAAACTAAAGGTAATATATCTTAATGTTGATTTAAGAACACTTTAACCTTATAATGTCAAATAACATTAATGCTGAGAGTTAGCAAATTAGTTTCAACAGATACTGAGAGTGCTGAGGAAAAGAGAAAGTCTTGTTTTGCGGCATTGTTTGTGTCAGCTGAAGTTAACTGCCTTTCATGATGCCTTGAATCATCTTATAGCCATTACCATGCACACAGGGGTACAGCTTTCTAAACATTCTCAGCCTTGTGGTTCTCGAGAATATAATGCTTTTGTGAAATTTGGCCATGAATGCAGTAATATTATCGTTCTGGACAACTACTGTTGACAATGTTGCGTGATATTAATGGGTAATGTGATTATTCACATATACAGGCACAACCTTGCACAAGTTAACAGCACATTATCAAACCCTTCACAGTATTATTCCATGCAGGAGTACAGGATGGTCACATACAATTATCCAATCCTACATATCACTGGGAATATGTTGCTGCAGAAATGAAGTTGTGTCAATAGTCTCGGAATAGTAAACGAAAAGCTGACACATTGTTTGAGGTATAGAGATAATTATTAAATGAGGCATATAATATATATCAACACTATTTCATATTCCCAGAGTAATATATAGAGAGATCTATTGCCAAATTAGGTTAGGTTAAAATGTTTTTTATTCCTGCATCAGGGCATTCCAGAGTAATATATGTATGTGGGATTCTCCTTCAAAATAAGAAGTATACCCTGTGTAATATTTATTGTGATCTAATAGTAAATGAGGTGTATATTCAAATGATCTTGTTTCTTGATCAAGTTATTCCCATAGTAATATAAACAGCAATCTGATACTAAATGAGATATTCCCAGATTAATATATATATAGCGATCAAATACTGAAAAAGGTGCATTAATTCACAAGACAAGATTTTACTTATTCGCCGAGGTATTCCCAGAGTAACAAACATGAGTGTGATTTCTTTTCAAGCTTAGATGACAAAGTAATAGAGGCCAGGCAGGTTTTAGGGTAGTAAAAGGAAACACCTGACATGCCTGTTTTGAAGTGTACTCAAAGTAATATATAATATACCGTAATTCGACTTATAAAGCGCCCAGGGCGCTCTCAAAATTAGAAATAGGGGGCTCTTATTAGAATATTATTTTGGTGAAGAACAACAGGGTTGAAAGATAAATTTTGTGGTTTATGCTGACAGCCTGAAATGTTTATATACGGCAGATATATTTTGTTCCAGAATTTAATTGCCTATAATTAAGGGTGCATATAAGACATGAGTGCGTATTATACGCAAATAAATAAGTCTTATGTACATTGATCAATCTGAAGGGGTGCTAATTGGGATTGTTCACTAGTCAATATATTAGCAAATATCGCTGTGGGCGCTTATTAGAGCGGGGCGCTTATTACGACGAATACGGTATGTGGCAACCTTACACTAAATGAGGCGATTATATACAAAAAGATTTTATTGATGAATCATACATAAAATCACTTTTGGAAATTATTTTTATACCATTTTGATTTTGTGAAGACCATTCCTACCCCACGAAAAAGCGTTTTCAATTTCCATAGTTGATGGTTTGGGTTGTAAATACAATAATTTAATTTGTGTTTTGTCACAATCTGGAGGTTTCCCCATAGAACATCCATGACCAGTAGATTTTTCTATCTGGCAATCCCTTAGTTTATCAGTACTCACAAGTTCTGGACAGTCACATACTGTCATCTCACTAATCACCAAGGTCACACCCCTACAGTCTATTACTGGTCTTATAACATCAAAGTATCTGCTAACTTGACAGATGTTATGTAGAATATATTACTGATGTTTGGGGATGTGTGAATATGAAGTTTTTGAAATGATTTTGTTTCATCTGTCAACATGGTCATCCTGATTCACGGACGAAATTAAAAGTTTCACCCCAAAGGAATTGCAATGTTTGCAGGAAAACTGTTACTTTCAAATATAGTTTCGGCATAGGCAAATGTGTACAAATGACAAACATAATATTTTGACATCAGATAACGAAAGCTGTTTGTAAAATTGGAACCTAAAACTACAGAAAACAGTACAATTTTCATTGAACTAAAAACATTATTTTCTATTCAGGATACAGGGTATATAGCCACTGACCAGTACTTTGCTTGATTCATTTGGTTTATCCCAAATTAGATATTGATAGAAGAAATAGTATTCATTGCTAGCTGACATTCTTCCAGCTTCAACTTTCAAGTTCCATTGATGACAACTGTCAGTCACAACTTCCTCACACTTTGCCCATAAAAGATTTTTTTATCTTCCTAAATTGCCAATAAAAAAATGCAATATAAAACGTACAAAAACGCTAAAACAGTCCAAGCATGTCAAGTGAAATATATTGACATCTGAATGATTTGATCATGTTCAGGACAAAAGCTATTTAATTTTATGTAGCAAAGAAGTGTTACATTTTAATTAATTTTTCGTTACCGAGATATTTGGACTCCCAACTTGAAAAAGTAAGCATGAACTTTCCTAGCACGGTGAGTATGTCTGCTGAGGTTGTTATAAACAATAACCTAATGACCCAACAAAACATGCGGCCAACGCATGATTGACAATGATGAAGGGGCAGTTCTGTCAGTCGTTCAAAGCTTCACAATGAGTTAAGACAGCTGTGATTAGCAATCAGTAGCCAAAAACGTCAAACATCGATAACCAAAAACATACCATGTAGAACTGCAGAAACACGGATTACCTGAAATGATGTATATTTTCACATTATCTTCTCGAACTTTGTCTGTTTGTTTTGCCACCGGAAGTACCTAAGGGAGATAACCAGTTGTGTTGCAACCCGGAAAGTGATAAGGGCTATATTTAGATAACCTCGACTATCCAGCATCATGTCTTCCGGCAGTGGCCTCGATTAACCAGATTATTTTATCTCTCCATGTCATGAATCATTTCGGTTTCTCGGTACATAGATCCCTGTTTAGATAGTTCTTCCCCAATCGCTGTTGGGATACTATGCAGTTTAGTAAGTGTCGCGACAGGTGTTCGAAATTGTTGGAGCTAATAGATGCTATTACACATTCCGTTTACGAAATGAATGCTCGACAGTCGTTTCTGCATCTTACGTTTTCGTTCTTACAAGAAAAGGGGTTAAACGATCATCCCTACAATAGCTTACAATTGTGTTTTAGAAACGTGTGTGATCGGGTAAATCCTATACTGCCTGAAACTGCAAATAACGGATTTGATGTTGTTGTTTTTTAATTCCTGCCTGAGACCATTCCACAAATCGATCTGAGCACAGCCCCGGTATATATGGTCTATGTTTTATTGTATAGGTTGGGCACAGATGATTATTCCGGTCTCTGAATAAATCTACAACAAATTGGAGTTACGAACGTCACAGCGCGAGACCGCTTTGTGGGTGCTAGAGAGATCCGGGCGTTAGCTGCACTTGCCGGAGGAGGGTCGGTCTGGCTGTGCGTATGTATGTAGAGGGTGTGTATCTGATGACTTTTTGTATGCAAAATTACTACCATGAAAACATGTTTGGGCCAAATTAATAATGGTTTACATGCCGGTTTGTGATTTTTGTGGAAGGGTAACCAAAAGATTTGGGAGGGGGGAAAACAAAAACAAAAAACATAAACAAACAATATAAAAACAACAACAAAAAACACCAAAGAACACAAAACACACAGATTTTTACACACACACACACACACACACACACACACACACACAAAGTAGAACCCCCTTCACCCCCTTTTTAAAATATATGAAGCATAACGACAGAAGTTGGATGTGTCATGTGATCCAGAAAGTAGCCCAGCAGGCTACACCCATCTATCATTTCATTTATTTAACCGAAGATGGAACTAAATTATACATAGTTTCAGATTTATACCGATTCGTTTGTTTTCAGTTGATGTTTTTCGCATTTTCGTTTCATTTTCTATTTGATTACGTATGCTACTTTAGAGACAGTTATGAAACTGTCACATGTAAATGTTTAAGGCTTAACAACAGGAAACGGAAATACCGGATATGACGTAAGTGAGTGTTAAATTAGTGCATCGCGTGCCCCTTTAATTGTGTGAAACCATTAGAAATCATTAAACAATCAGCGTGGTGTTCTATAAGCACACGTCATCGGGATGTCCTCATGCCGCTCAGAACGCCAACGTCACAGATAATTTAATTGGCAGCTATCAAACATCTCCATATATTTTCGTTCCTTCCCGGGAATATTTACCATAAACATTTTTGTGATATAGATAGAACTGTATCAATTTCCGGTCAGTAATTACTGCACACAGGGCCCAAATAAGGCGAAGATAAGCAACGTTGGCTTCAGGGAGTAGGTGGAAGGGTGACAATGCTTCGCGGAAGATTCGGCCCTGCCCCCACACTGAAACACAGGTTACATGTCTCGGTAGGCAAGATACGCTGTTCGAAATATGCCTCTGTTCACAAATCACTGAATGGGTATCCGGTAGGAGGAGAGGCTCACGAGACTGTAAACTTCTACACTAACATGGGTTTTTACCCCCCTGGGAGCTGAAGCTTTCACTCATGAACATCCCTGTCATAAACAAGTGTCATTAATGCGTTTTTGCTCGACATCCAATATGATTAGGGCTTTCGTCATGGAAACCATGTCAGAGTGAAAATATTGATCACTGTCTGTAGTCATGATTGTATATATATTTAAATTATTGCCCAAACACGTTGTATGTGTGTTATGTATACACTATTAGCTGTAGCAGTGTCACGACTGGTACTGCTACAACGAATTTATCTTGCCGACATGTTTTAATATGACATTGTAAAGGAATTGAAACAAATTCAAAATTGATAGAAAACAGCTGTTGGATTGAGCTGAGGTTAACTTGTGCTGTGTCACGTGACTTTCATTGACTCGGGAAAAGCGTGCGGTTTTTTGCTTCGAAACTGGGTACAAGGTATTTATTCTCCCTATCAGATATCCATGTGCAGCCTGTCTTGTTCGTGGCGGGGTATGAAGGATGTATTCTCCTGTATAGTATAGTCATGCTATGCCATTGATGTAACAACCTCAAACACCTACACATATATTCTCTCCCCCTACCCTCGATCTAGCGATGACATCTCTCTGATCCCACCTGCTGAAACAGTGTAGATGATGGCCTAATCAATAATGTTATATGAAGATGCTACAACTCATTCCATCATATTTAAGATAACGCCAGCATGGCTTCACTCGTATAGTGTAATTTGTGTGCATCTTTGTTGATTTTTGTGAAACATTTGATTCAGTATTGAAAACAAATTATGGTATTTATTTAATTTGTAAGAAACGAAGCAAATCATTATGCAGCTTTTATCATGCCTAACTTACTATGGAATCACCGTACTATAGCAATGCATCCATTCAAGGAGAGAAAGTACTGCCAGGAATTATGAAAGTATTTTAGCATATTGGTGTCCTGCCCATACAAAAATATTAAGAACAATTTACGCTGCATTTCCCCAATGCTTTTATATGGTTCTGAGATTTGGGGTACATCTATATGCCTGCAGAAGATTACTTGGTGTGAAACAAAGAAATGATAATGTGATAGTGAATGCAGACGCATTCCTTTGTATATACTTCAATATATGAGAGTAATAAAATATGGGTTAAAACTATTCAATATGCCAGAACGTAGATTGCCTACAAATTATTTATATACGGAGCACCATCAAACAATCTATTCATTTTTACTATTAACACACAAGTTTTGACATTTGGGTATGTCCCGCATAACAAACAATTCATTTCTTCACCACTGCCAACAAGAAGCAAGCTATTCATTTTGGGCATATTCTGTGAACAGACAAATTATTTAAAAAATCACATACGCGGACAGATTTTTACTCACACACACACACACACACACACACACACACACACACACACACATATATACCTGAGGTTGAAAAATGGAAGATGTTAGATAAGTGGTAACCGATCTTGATGTTACTTTTTTAGAATAAATGTAAACTACTCCGTTTTAAAATAATTCTCAAAAGTGTCCCATGTACACACGAGACTAACATATAAGTGCCTGAAACATGTGACACGATGCAACGATGCAATTCAAATTTTTGTTAGTAATTATAAACAGGCAAAACCTTTTAAATCATTTATACCACCAGGTTGTAGAGACAAAATAATGATGGGCCATCATGATGTAAGTGATGCAGAATGATTATGTTTTCAGTACTGCAAACTTTTATTTTAAGTGTTATCAGAGAGCATATACTGATGGTCTCTGGTTTTATGTGATGCAGACAAGCAAGTCATTGACGTATTTAAACAGATATTCTCAGATACAAATCATAAAAAAGAGTAACAGTAAAATCAAGGATATTGTAACTTCTACATTGGGCTTTTTAATACCAGATGAATCAATGTACACTCCCCATTACAGACAGTAAAGACGTCAGATATGGACTATTGGTGCTGGTTGGGTCAGGACAACTTGCACCAATACAAGTTTTTGTTTGTTTGTTGCTTAACGCCGCACTCAGCAATATTCCAGCTATATAACGGTGGTCTGTAAATAATCGAGTCTGGACCAGACAATCCAGTGATTGACACCATGAGCATCGATCCACGCAATTGGGATCGATGATGACACCATGAGCATCGATCCACGCAATTGGGATCGATAACATGCATCAACCAAGTCAGCGAGCCTGACCACCCGATCCCGTTAGTCGCCTGTTACGACAAGAATAGTCGCCTTTTACGGCAAGCATGGGTTGCTGAAGACCTATTCTACCCCGGACCATCACGGGTCACCATTTCAAGTAGCTCAGTGATAGGAATATATTCCCTGCAGCCGTGCAGCCTCGTGATATGTTATGATGAAGTATGAAACTGTTAAATTGTACTGAATTATATTAACAAATGACCTTCTGCCCTGACCACGTGGTCAATCCAAATGTAAAATCGTGTTTTTATATTTTTGAAAATATAAAGTGAGGAAAGAAAAAGACAAAAAAAGAAGACAAATTCACATACACACACATATTCACACAGACACAGAGACTCACACACACATTTGGATGAATGATCTAATTGCCAATGTTTGCATCGCAGGGTAAGCGTGTGTGTACATACAGGCCATGCTGGTACCAGTACACAACACGGCCACGCGCCGTGCTGGCGGACTAACGGAACTGTGCACATTACATCAGCAGCAAGGTGGTCAGGAGCATGGCGCACTGCACATGTCAAGACGTTATACCATCTTCCTTGTATACATGTACTTCCTGATCCAGTCATTGTTTCTGTGTGCTGGCTATGTGGTGTTTACCTCCTACTCTAGTCTACGTTGGAGATCTGTACTCGGAATACCAGCTCAGTGTGAATCTGGCCAGTAAGCTAGTCTCCCAATGAAATGTGTTATTTTGCTGAGGGTATCATAAGGTATTTACCATAATAGAATAAAGATTTAATACACTGGATAATCGAGTGGGTTAGAAACTGCTGTCATCTTCAATAACTAGGTGTATTCTTTTCCAGAACACTGATTGAATCTTGGACATTTCATACTCGTAGAGGAAGGACCATCCATTTGATTTGTAAAGTGGGGGCGGTTTTTTAATGTTTTTTCCAGATGTATCCAACAAACCTTTTATTTACTGAGCACCAGCAAACAATCTATTCGATTTCATTAATAACACAAAAATTGACCTTTGGGTATTTTCCACAAAACAAAGTACTCATTTCTTGCACCAACAAACTATCCATTTTGGCTTATTTCTGGACAAAGTGT